ACACCTAAGCACCAATATCCAAACATTGCCATGAAGACCAAAGAACTCTCCAAACAAGTAAGGGACAATGTTGTTAGGAAGTACAAGTCAGGGTTATGACATGATCAAGTATGAATATTTAGGTTTGAATATAGATGTTTCATTGGAATGATTAAATGTAGATTGACTGCCTATGATTGTTTTGTCCTGTTGTATTTGTAATATTAGTGCACTTATTATTTTATTATATATATATTTTATGTCACAATTTTAAAGGGTAATAGGTACTTTTATTCACAGAAGATGTTTAGTTCCTTTTTTTGTTTTCTTATATTGTTTGTACTTAATTATTTTTTTTATTTACATTGGGTCTATGTGATGTTTGTAGGCTAAGTATGGCCATCAATATACTTTTTTTACAGCTTTATGTTGCTTTCATATTAGCAGGTTTTATAGAGGGCTAGTGACACTAAGGAATATAGTAATATCACAGGTACAAAACGCATGTCCAGTTCGGATAGGCTTCATGTAAGTTATTATTGATATTGTCTTTTTGATTTATCCATAGTAACTTTTTTGTAATGTTTTTGTATATATGTCATATTATATGATTTGCATATGTGCTGTGTTTTTAAATAATAATGATTAACTTTTGCCCTTCACATTTATCTTATTAAACACAGTATGCTCATGTAATGATCAAAACAACTGGATCCACTGCAATAGATTAGATTTCCAAAGATTCTAGCTGCAAACTATCAGTTTAATATGTTTTGATGTGCAATGACACTGAAACTAAATGCTCTCCTGCTCTGTCTTTTTCAAATATTTGACTAGCTCCTCTGGAATGATTAAAGACTCACATATGCTAGACCTGCTGAGGTGGGAACATAATCTTACTCCAGAACCGTACTTTATTCTGACAGTTTATGTCATGTTCCACTACTGATCATATCAGTGCCTGAAGCACACTGGACTCTAATTAGAACCCTTCTATTGTGTACATTTTCTGTTTACAGTAGAGAGGACAATTTTCGATACAACTCTTCAGTTAAGTGGACCCTTCAGACTCCGCTATAAGAAATATGTGTAATATATCTAAATTTAAGTTGTGTTTTATTTATTTTTATAATAACGATAAATTACTAAACCTGGTATCGTTATTTCCTCTGTATCTTCCTTCTAATCTGCAGAATTTCCTTTTTTAATTTTATTTAAAAGGTCACTCCATATTGGAATATCCATTCATTTTTATTGTTTTCTCCAATAATTAATTAAAATAGGGGGAAAAATTTACTACGTAACATGTAAATAAATTTAAAAAATAATGATAGATACTCACAGTGAAAGTTTCAGCATGTGTTGCAAATTCCAAGAATATGATGCAAACTCTCAATGAAGAATTGGAAGACACTGAACTAAATTACACAGTGGCTAAGAAACATACGTGGAAAATGGAAAAAAAAAGTTTCTTACTGACTTATAATGTTATTGATCTGAATCTGAGATTATGAAATAAACAGCTCAAATTATACCATAAAAGATTAAAGTTTTCTATTTATAAACTCACACAGCAAAAAAATTGTAGCTTTTACAAACAAGTTAATTTATAAGAAAGAGTATCCAAATCATGATAAGAATGTAGGAACTGACTAGGATTTTGTTGAATAGAACCATAGACAGGGCCGGCCTTACGGGTGTGCGAGCTGTGCGGCTGCACAGGGCGCCATGGCAACAGGGGGCGCCGTGCAGCCCACACAGCTCGCAAGTCGTGCAGGCAATGAGGATTGGAGTCTGGTGCACCTGTTCCATTGCAACTAGTTGACGTCTCTGGTACAGCCTTATGATTAATCCAAGCATCAAATAAACAGAGCAGGCTGCGCTGCTCCTCGCTTTACTACCTGACTCCTTGGGGAAATGTTCACCAATTAAATTGTTACTTCCTGCTCTTTACTGCCACACGCTGATGAACCGGAGATGGAGGGGAGGATCCCTGGAGCAGAATCAGAGTCTCATGGACAGAGATGAAAGAAGGCCTGGAGAAGGAAGATAATTCAGGTTGGAAAAAAACCTGATGTGGAGAAAAATAAGGGATAGTTCATGAGAAGGGTAATCTGTAATGAAGGGGCGATATCTTAAGGAACATAGAATTGATATATATGTAATGGAGGGGCAGAGAGATGTGTAATGGAGGGGTAGAAAGATGTGTAGTGGAGGGGCAGAGAGATATGTAATGGAGGGGTAGAGAGATGTGTAGTAAAGGGGCAGGGAACTGTGTAGTGGAGGGGTAAAGAGTGGAGAGTAGAGAGTGGAGGGGCATAGAACTTTATGATGGAGGAGCAGAGATGGAGGGGCATAGAGCTGTGTAATGGAGGGGCAGAAAGCTGTGCAATGGAGGGGCAGGGAACTGTGCGATGGAGGGGCAGGGAGCTGTGCGATGGAGGGGTAGAGAGATGTGTGATGGAGAGGCAGAGAGCTGTGTAATGGAGGAGCAGAGAGCTGTGTAATGGAGGGGCAGAGAGCTGTGCAGTGGAGGGGTAGAGAGATGTGTAATGGAGGGGCAGGTAGCTGTGCAATGGAGGGACAGGGAGCTATGTAATGGAGGGGCAGGGAGCTGTGTGATGGAGAGGCAGAGAGCTGTGTGATGGAGGGGCAGAGAGCTGTGCAGTGGAGGTGTAGAGAGATGTGTAATGGAGGGGCAGAGAGCTGTGCAATGGAAGGGTAGAGTAGAGAGTTGCGTAATGGAGGGGCAGGCATGGAGCTGTGTGATGGAGGGGCAGGGAGCTGTGTAATGGAGGGGCAGGGAGCTATGTAATGGAGAAGCAAGGAGCAGTTCAGTGGGGGGGGCAGGGAGCTGTGTAATGAAGGGGTAGGGAACTGTGCAATGGAGGGGCAGGGAGCTGTGCCATGGAGGGGCAGGTAGCTGTGTAATGGAGGGGCAGGGAGTTGTGCGATGGAGGGGCAGGGAGATGTGCAATGGAGGGGCAGGGAGCTGTGCAATGGAGGGGCAGGGAGCTGTGCAATGGAGGGGCAGGTAGCTGTGTAATGGAGGGGTAGGGAGCTGTGCAATGGCGGGACAGGGATCTGTGTAATGGAGGGGCAGGGAACTGTGCAATGGAGGGGCGGGGAGCTATGCAATGGAGGGGCAGGGAGCTGTGCGATGGAGTGGCAGGGAGCTGTGCAATGGAGGGGCAAGGAGCTATGTAATGGAGAAGCAAGGCACTGTGCAGTGGGGGGGGGGTAGAAAGATGTGTAATGGACTGGGAGAATTTGACAAAAGTAAAAGAGGTGTGATGGTAATGTAAACAGGATATTTAATAGGAGATCAACTGGTGAAGGCAGAACAGAGAGTATGTTTGTACTGGAGGAGCCTGGAAAGATAGGGAACAAGAAGGGAGCTCTATTATGAGATAGGGGTAAAATAGTTGGAGGAGCTGCTTGTGGAAAGTAGTGATGTGTGGTAATGGGTTTACATAACAAGTGAGTGGGTTGGGGTGGAAATGGTTAGTAATAGTAACAGGTGCAAATGTGCATAACTTATTTGTGAATGGATAATAGAAGAAATTGCTAGTGTGGAGATGAGTGGTGGGGAAGTAGTGACCGGTTTGCAAATGTGTGGTGGGAGAGAACTGGCTGGTGTGTGTATGCAAGTAGGGTATAAGTGGCAGTGTGTGGACGGGTGGTAGGATAGATGTGGGTGGTGTGTGGAAGGTTGGTGGGGAAGATGTGACATGTATGTAGTGTTTATGAGTGTTGAGATAGTGCAGCAAATGTTATGTGAATGAGTGATTGGAGGAGCAGTGACTGGTCTGTGGATGGTTGGTAGGAGGACTAGTGGTTAGAGTGTGGGTTTCTTTGAAAGTTAAGGTAAGCAGAATAATAATCTTAGAGGCAAAGCCAAGTGCTTGGGAAGAAACATGATCTGAGATAGTTATACTTAAAAGGGAGATCTGAGAAGGAAATGGAAGAGGAATTTAATTAACAAATATATTTAACAAATATTTAAAGATAAAATGAATTGCTTCTGGTGTCTTTATTGGTCAAAGCAGAAACTGTCAAAGATTAACAAACTAATTTCAAATGTCAAAATAGTCTGAAAAAATCTTGTGAAACAGTGAAAATCTTGCATGTTGCCTGAAGAGCTTTCAATCTTTTTCATGATGTTTTTCTAATCTCTTTGTTTTGGGAGATTAACAAGAATGGAAAGTTTTAAATTGCAGGAGGTATTGGATGAGGGGTGTGGCCAGAGAGGGGCGCTGTGAATGTTTTTCGCACAGGGCAACAAAGGTCTAAGGCCAGCACTGACCATAGACACTTACAATTAACTGTTGCTGCACACCATATTAAAGGCTGTTAGAAGGGGCTTTCTGTCAGTTCCCTAACCTCTCATTTTATGTGTTTAAAATTACTTTTCACATTTTGATTTAAATACGTTTCTGATCAGGGAAAAGTGGAATTTTGGAATCGGTTACAGTTGCTCTCCTTTTAAGGCTAGTAGAAAAACTATTTAAATATAAAATACAAAATGTGAAGACTCGAACACTCAAAAAGTAAAAAAAAACATATCCCTTATCAAGATACTATAAGGATATAATTGTGCAATAAAAGGCTGAGCATACCCTAACATGCCTTTGAGGGCACCTATTAACAAACTATTGCACTCAGTGATAACTCTATCACTAAATGTCCCTAATCTCATATAAAGAGAAATATTTGCTGTGAAAAATATTGCATATACAGTTAGGTCCAGAAATACAACAGATTTTAAATGAAACAACCAAGATGTAAGTAAAGTGCAGACTTATAGCTTTAATTCAAAGGGTTGAACAAAAATATTGTATGAAACATATAGGAATTGCAACCATTTTTATACAGCGATCCCTTATTTCAGTGGCTCAATGTAATTGGAGAAATTAACACAATCATTGTTTTGTCAAGAATCCTTTGTAGGCAATGACTGCTTGAGGTCTAGAATGCATGGATATCACCGAACACTGGGTTTCCTCCTTTGCAATGCTTTGCCATTCCTTTACTGCAGCTGTCTTCAGTTTTTGTTTGTTTGGGGGACTTTCTGCCTTCAGTTTTGTCTTCAAGTAAACTGCATGCTCGAACATGTTGAGATCAGGTGATTGACATGGCCATTGCAAAATATTTTACTTCTTTGCCTTAAGGAAATCTTGGGTTGCTTCTGCAATATGTTTGGGGTCATTGTCTGAAGCCATGCATGTTCATGCCTTCAAACTGCCTCAATGTGTTTTTTAGATGATGTGGTATGCTTCAAATCATGAGCTCTTCCAAGTTTTCTCCATACTTTTTTCTTCCCATCATTCTGGTATAGGTTGATCTTAGTTTCACCTGTCCAAAGAATACTGTTCCAGAACTGGGCTTGCATTTTGAGGTTTCTTATCAAAGACTAATCTGGCCCTTCTGTTCTTGAGGCTTATGATTGGCTTGCACCTTGTGGTGAACCCTCTGTATTTTCTCTCAAGAAGTCTTCTCCTTATGGTAGACTTGGATAGTGATATGCTTATCTCCTGGGGGAATGTTTTTTACTTGGCTGGATGTTGTGAAGGGGGTTTTTCTTTACCATGGAAAGGATCCTACACTCATCCACTGCTGTTGTTTTCCATGGACGTCCTTTAAGGCCTTTTTGTGTTGCATAGCTCACCAGTGCATTCTTTCATTTTTTTTTCTCAGAATGTATTGTTGATTTGGTCACTCCTAATGTTCCTGCTGTTATCTCTCAGATGAATTTATTGTTATTCTATTTTTTGCAGCCTATTCCCTGTTTCACTGATTCGTATTGATAGTTGTACGTTCACAGCAAGCAAAAATTCCCAAACATAAATGCCTCATCTGGAATCAACTCCAGACCTTTTACCTGCTTAATTGATGAAGAAATAATGAAGGAATAACCCACATCAGTCCATGAAACAGTTTTGAGTCAAATGCCCAATTACTTTTGGTCCCTTGAAAAAGAGAGGACTACATTTTAAAGAGCTGTAATTCCTAAACTCTTAAGCAAAGTTGGATGTTAATACCCTAAAATTAAAGCTAAGAGACTGCTCGTTAAGCCAATATTAATTATTTAACTGTAGCTTGAATTTATTTTGGTACTCAGCAAAAATAACAAAACTTGTACGTGTCAGTGTACAAATATTTCCTGACCCAGCTATAAAATATATCACTACTGGGGAGAGCAAGTGTAACATATTCCCAAATCCTATTATTCCATTATTGGAAACCTATTTAAATCAAACTAAAGCTTATTGTGGTTGTTCGTGTGACTATAGGCAGTGTTTACATTATTGCCTAGTAGCACCTCTCGTGGCAGTCACTCAGACAGCCACTAGAGCTGCATCCTAGGTGAGTGCTGCATAACATGCAGCACTTACATTCAGCTTCTCCATGCTCTGCATACATTGAGTATTCCACATAGAGATGTTTTGACTCAATGCATCTCTATTAGGAGATATTAATTGGCACAGTGCTGAGTTTTTTCATGTATGGGAAAGCATTGGATTGGTTGTGATCGTCATTTGATGATCTAAGCCAAGGAAACAGACATCCACAACAAGGCCTGTGTGGCACTAAAAATAAGGAGAGTTTTACACATTTTAAAGGGAAGTCGAGCTGGCCTTAATGATGCATTTAGAACTATAGTGTCAGGAATACGTGTTTGTATTCCCAACACTATACTGTTCCTTTAAGCATTTTGAGACTCCTAAAAAGAAGCATTTGCTTGCCTTGGTGACTCCTGCAATAATTATATGAGCTCCTTATTTCACACAACATTTTTAGTGTCTCTGCACCAAAATAACCACTAAATGACTGATAATGATCTATGCCACAATAAGGATCCCTTCTTAAATGGAATGCTCTGCTCTTTAACCCCTTAAGGACCAAACCTCTGGAATAAAAGGGAATCATGACATGTCAGCAATGTCATGTGTCCTTAAGTGGTTAAAGGTTTCAGTCAAGGTGGGTGGGATGTAAATAAATATAATTCAATCTATTGGCATTGTAAGTACTAAGGAAAAGTGTGTGTTAGTGAACAACATGTATCTGTCATAATTACATTCACACTTAACATCCTTCCTTTTATTGATGAATGGATATTCTGTTGGTTTTGAACAGGTTAGGAGACTTGTTACATGTGTAAAGCTCAACAAGTCCAGTGCAGCAATGCCCCACTATCGTTTAATTTCATCAGCCACTACTGGAAGACGGTATGGAAATACCAAAGCTAAATGTCCATGTTCAAAAACAAATTAAATGGCCCAGAGCATCGTCATTAAATGTGTATAGTGTTTCATAATATGTGTCTAGTGCAGTGTTTCCCAACCCAGTCCTCAAGGCACACCTACCAGTCCAGGATTTAGGGATTACCCAGTTGTGTCTAAGGTGTTTTTACAAAGAAGAAAAAAAAACACCTTAGACACAACTGGGTAATCCCTAAATCCTGGACTGGTAGGTGTGCCTTGAGGACTGGGTTGAGAAACACTGGTTTAGTGCCATAAATATACAGAGTAACTTTTGACCGCAAGGGGTCTTTATCAATGATAATGGGGCAATGATAAAGGGATACAAGGTCTGAAGATGTGCTGGATCATTTATTTGCATCTGCATATTTACTACAGGTTTGGATAGTATTGGGGTCTGTGCACCCTTGAAAGCAGGTGCATCCAATTTCTATTTATAGGAAATTCCATGTTAGCAGATCTTCAGGAACCCAATTTTGATTGTACCAAGATGTTATTTTTTATCCGTAAGTGAATAATGGCTTCCTCAAGATAGAGAACAGTGTCCTGAAATAAGTAGAAGTTCATACGAATTCCTTACATGGATCCATAGAACTCCATAGCAGTGGAATATAGGGAATATCAATGTTTATCCATATGTAACTATTATTTAAGTAAGACAGCCAAATGACACCCCTTTTTCTTTAATTTAATTAACCTTAAGCCCTTTTCATTTGCTACGAAGTAACAAAATGTACACAGAGATATTTTATTAAAAATATGACCTTTTCTGCTCCCACGTTTATTAATTTTTACAGAAAGAAAGTCTGACAGATTCCAGGCTCTGGCACTTGAACACATAAAACGACTCCTAAAAAGTATTGCTAAAAGGCAGTATGGATGAACAAAGTAACCTTTTCCAAAATACTGTACACAGTGAACAACTGTAAAACGCGCAGTAATTGGTACAGTGGAGAAACACACACAAAAAAAAAGATGCTTAACATTTCTGCCTTGATTTATAATTCAGCAATTCTCAACTCATCATTATGCATCTTTGCAGCTGTCTGTCAAGTGAAAAGTAAATTAAAGGAAACAAAAAAACTAATTATTGTCCAGATATCATCTTGGCATATATTCTTCAGGTAAGCCTGTAAAGTTTCTGGCTTTTAGTGCTTTATCTACCGTCCTAATATATCCATCAATTAAATCCTTCATTTCTCGCGTGAAAGGCTCCAAGACTGTTTGACTAGAGCCTACTCGTTTAAAATTCCCATCCTTGTTATTTTCCACACAAAGTAGACGGTCTTCATTTACTGTTAAATTGAGAAAGGCCACCATTTCCTTCAGTTTTCCAATGAGATCTCTCTTCAGATCTTCATAGTGGACAACAAGAAGTCTCTTTCCATACTGTAGCCAGTCCAAGGCATGTGAAGCCCACCAAGATGCATAGCTGTTCACAAATTCTGGCCATTCTGTTTGACAAAAAAAAATAAAAAAATACAAAAATGGTTTATAAGGAATGACTGCTCTGTACCAGGTGGTGACATTTTCAGATAGATTCAATTTATCTTAATTTGCTCTTTGTTGTAAAACTAACTTCACCCCTTACTACATTTCCTTTCTTACTCAATAAACACCCATTTACTCTTCGAACATCTTTCTTCTAACATCTGCTTATTGCTGCACTGCTAACTCGAATTTGTAGGATTTCCAAGGGCTGCCCTGTCCTTCACATATTTAGCATATTTGCATCACAAATATAATAAAAATCGATTCAATGTATACATGGCTAAAGATTGGAACATGTTTATCACCTTTACTCTTCCAGTGCCTTTCCGTTGCATATCCCAAATGCCCCGCACATTTTCTGTTGAATTCTGCCATCAACGCTTTGTAAGGGTTCCGAATTAATAATATTGAGGAGTCGTACATTTCTATTTCTCTTTTGCCACTTTCATGAGTCTTTACACATATCGTACGCCCACTTCTCCAGTGATCCTTTTCCCCTTTGAAGCCTTTAAAACATTTTATTCACAATATTAGCATATTGATCCAATACAACAGCTATTTGACATTATAGGTTACATGCAATCATTTGTGTATGGGGGGCACTACAATGCTACTGTAGCATTACAAATGGACTATAGCTTATATTCTCTCAACAACAGTATTAGCTTAATGGACCTCGCATGGATATGGAAAGGGACTTTATGTATAGAAGTCATCTGAAAATAAGTCAATTTTATTTTGGCCAGTGAACATATCAGGTAGCGGTTAAATAATAAGAACACTTAAAAATCCTTTACTGCTCCTACCTTTGTTGTAAAGTGTCCCATCAAAGTAGTAGCTTCCAGTGTAATACCCTGTTCCATGTTCTATAAGATGTCTCACCCATGTGTTTCCTGCCCCAGGAAAGCTTGACAAAGCTACAAACACTTTGGATTTTGAAGGTAGAAATGACCTCGCTGTGCATCTGGTATCTGAAAGAAACCACAAACTTGAAATTAATATAACAAATTCACTTCCAGTCAAAGCTTTGGCATTAGGACAATGCCGTTTATTCACATTTGGACATGAATTGTTATTTGCTCCATTGTTCGTTAGAAGGAATAGCTCCAAGAATGCACTGCGGTAAATGCTAGAAATGTTTCACTTTTCAAAGTGCAAGGCTTTTTATTCAACAGAGTGCTGGCCTCTGAAATTCATATCATTGGAAATAAATTCTAAAGTCTAATGTTTTGCCATGTTTGTTTGTATGAAATAACACAAAGCTTTCAATCTCTCTAAATGCAGAGCTGAAAAGAGTTTGGAAAACGTGTGTTATTGTGTTACAGCTACTTGCAGATATGGTAGATGCCAAGCACAGTGTAAAAGAAAAGTGAATTTTGTTTCGTTTTTCCTTTCCAGAAAGCTGTTAATCTCACATAGAAAAGGAAGAAAAGAATAGTAAAGTAAACGGCACTACAAAAAACATCAATGGGTGCATTGTGTACCCCATGGCATTTAGTCAGTAAATTAATATATTTGCAAGTTACAAATATAAAAAAGAACCCCTTAAAAATAAAGGGTCCTAAGTTAGAACTCGGCCAATACAAAGAGGGAAGGGACCCTTACATTTATTATTTCTAGGGAATGAAATAACGACAATGAGAAAAAATAAGGGAAACCGGCTAAGATAATGCCAGGGGTATATACCACTCACACCAGGTGCCAGGGGGCTTAGATGGGAACAAATTATCCAAATAAAAAAGAGTCTCCAAATAACACACCAGTGTCTCATAAACCGAACGCTGTCTACAAAAAATCCAAAGTAAAGGCAAAAAAATGTAATGAGGTAAAAGGGAGGTAAGGGTATAAAGATCCCAATGAACATCCAAAGGACTGTCTATACTCAAAAGAAGCTCCCCCTAAAATTACCTCGGCACCGTGGATAAACCACTAGTACCTACCTAAACCATACTTTCACTGCCTACGTCAAGACTAAATCAAGTGCTATACATACAAAATCACAGTGCTAAAAAGTGCTACCAAGTGGAAAAGGTGGAAGGAAAGAACTAGCTTGACGCTGTCTTTTTTTTAATTCCAGCTTGTATTCTCTTGTTTATATTGTATGTCCATTCATATTGTATGGACATACAATATAAACAAGAGATTACATTTTGAATTTAAAATAATAAACATCAGTCATATAATAGCAATCAATCTAATTCTTTATTCATTCTACGTTCTTTAATGTACCAACAAATCCATTAAGATGCTATTTTCAAGATGTGAATTACCTTACGCTCACTTCTAAAATGCATTTACTAATTAGCTAATCTTAAGCAATAAAAAAAAAAATTAAAAACAATTGGGAGAAAGCAGATTGTAA